TATATATATATATATATATATATCTATATATATATACATATATATATATATATATACATATATATATATATATATATATATATATATATATATATATATATATATATTTATATATATACCCGGTATTTTAGGCGGCACACGCCCTTCCGGTAGGGATCTATGGAGGAGTATCACCGAGTCGCAAGCCCTTATCTCTTGCCGTACTGCTCCACCATAGTCCGATCAGATACCAGCATATTCTAGACTAAGCCGCAGATTCATTTAGAATTTTAAACTGCTGCGTTAGCCTTTTTGTTTTCTGTACACCGAGCTGGGGATTTGAACTGACCTCTCTCGCATTGAAGCGAATGAGAAGCCAGCCGCCCAGCTCACTTGGCTATCCGATCGACGTTGGTTAGTATAGTACAGTAACTAAATAACCTATTGGTTATTTAGTTACTGTTCTTATATTTCAGACAACCATAAATAAAACATGTCTATACTGTCTGACCATTTAGATCTATGAAATTTGAAGTTATTAACCAATGTTAACCATTTTTTTAAATACGTTGTAACGTAAATTTAACCTGGATGGGAACGATGCCTAGAAGTTGGGTATTACTGTGAGTAATATAAAAATTAACCGAAGAGAAGATTTAGTCTTGGAATTTAGTTAGACGAAGAATACAGGTCTTAATACGGTCACTATGCAAATCGGCACTCAGATGTTTTAAAGGACACAATGACGAGTTTTGGGACGTGGGTCTTCAGGTCGCTTATAAGGAACGCAGCATACTGAAGTCAGAAAAAATAAAGAAAATGAATCATACAAAAATGGACAAAAATTGAAACAAATTAATGGGACGCCACTTTATTTTTTCCTTAAGGGGCAAGAAAAACTCTCAAAATAAATATATAAAAAAATTACAAGAAAAAGTTACACTTAAAGGTAATGGATTTTCTATAAAGAGCTATGATGTTGTAAATAGTTGAGAAGATGTAACTGGCACCGATTCAATGGAATGTTGGAATGTCAGTGAAAACTGAGAAAGTCGGACACATTTATGGTTACGTATGATAGCCCAGGCGAACTGGGTTTAAAATACCAAAAGAATTTATTGCAAAATATAATTTAAACATTGGGATATTTAATTAAAGAAGATTAAAATTGTGATCATATATGAAATATAAAATTATAAATTTACTATACCTAATAAATATATGTAAACTTCTGATTAAATCTAAATCTTAATGTTTACTAATTTGTTAAATATTTAAATCTATTGCCCCGATTACCAGCAAATTAGCGTATTATAATATTTTAATGGCAATGTGAAATTAGCCCGAGACAGCTTGTAGGTATTTGAGAAAAATAATTAGGCAATTAAAGATCATTTAGGAGTGTATAGCGCGTTTCGCAGTCACTTAAGCAGTACGAGCAGCCTAGGGCTGTGCTTTAACCCTTTCCAGGCAGATGATCCCATATGAGATCATAACAATATGTTCTGCTTTAGCGGCAAAGGAAACTACTAACAGTATTTCGTTGCCTTTTTTTTTTGTTTTGGCTTGGACAATTGCCATTCAGCCAGTCTCAATCAAGATAAGTTTATTAATGTAGTGTGTGTGTGTGTGTGTGTGTGTGTGTGTGTGTATGTGTGTGTGTGTGTATGTGTGTGTGTGTGTTTGTGTGTGTAGAGTAATTGTCTTGATACTTAGTAGCAAAGTCGACGTCATTGTCTTTGCTAAGAGACGCTAATTGTATCCGAACGTCTGCGGTCCCAACCAGCCCATCGAAGCCTTTGTACTCTAGCGAACTCTGCAATAGGTACTTCTTTGAACAGTTGGTAGAGTTCATGGTTATATCTAGATCTCCACATCCCATTTTGAGTGATGGGTCCAAAGATCTTCCTTAGGATTTTTCTCTCGAAAACCTCTAATCTTCGTTTAGTGCTTTCTGTCAAAACCCATGTCTCGCATCCATAGCATACTATCGGTCTGATGATAGTTTTATAGACCTTAAGTTTCGATGTACCGTCTTGGAGCGGAATATGTTAATCAGGGAAAAATAGGCTTTATTTCCCTTCATTATTCTCTTCTGAATTTCGGCCTCTTCTGTTCCCTCCGTATTCATTTCGACTCCCAGATAAGTAAAACTCTTCACTGTTTCAATGTCATCCTCTACTTTGATTTGATTTCTTGTTCGCTTTGTCCGCGTCTGTGTTAGTATTTTTGTCTTCTGTGTATTTATTTTCAAGTCCAATCTCCTTGGCCGTTTTTTTCAGCTGCGAATATGTTTCTGCTGCATCATCCACTCTGCGGGACATGAGGTTAATGTCATCCGCATATGCGGCGAGCTGGACAGATTTGTTTGTTAGGAGATTGGCTCTTCCGACATTCAGCTTTCTGATGACATATTCAAGGGCCAGATTGAAGAGTGTTGGAGCTAGTCCATCACCTTGTTTCAGCCCTTGAACTATTTCGAAGCTGTCAGTTAATTCGTACTGTATGCGTACAGTTGCTATTGTAGAGTCCATCGTTGCTTTTACTAGTCGGATATATTTCGAGGGAATATTGAAGCTTTCCATGATGTTATATAACCGGCTTCTATTTATGGAGTCATAAGCCTGTTTGAAGTCGACAAATATATTGTGAACATCAATATCGTGTTCCCAAGCTTTATTAAGGATTTGCTTTACTGTAAAAAGCTGATCTATTGTCGACCTGCCTTGTCGAAACCCGGTCTGGTATTCGCCGATAATATTTTCACATAATGGTTGAAGTCGCCTGTTCAGGATGGATGTAAAAATTTTGTAGACCGAACATAGGAGGGTTATGCCGCGGTAATTTTCGCATTTAAGTTTGTCCCCTTTTTTTTAGATTGGGCAGATAATCCCATTTTTCCAATCGCTAGGAATTTTTTCTTCCCTCCATACCTTAGATATGAGCGCGTGCACCTGCGTTGTTAGATGTTCGCCACCTAACCAATTTTTTTCGCCAATTTTTTTTAATAAACGAAAATTTCCACCCAGGTGGGATTCGAACTCACGACCTTTAGATTTAAAGGCAGGCGCTCTTACCACTGAGCCACAGAGGGGGTATTTCGTTGCCTCACCTTCCTACTGGATGACGCTGCATTAATTTATTTGACAATTCTATCAGTAAGCGTTAGTCACATTTCAAAGTAAAACTTCGTAGTGAAACAACGATCATCAATTCACTGTAAATTTCAAATCATTCTAAGGTGAGTAGTTTAACCAGTAATTGCACGAAACAATTTATTTAGCTTCTTACATTGTTTTTATTTGATGATTTGCATTATAGTTTGCTCATATTTCCAAGTTTGTTTATGTAAACATAAATATCAATGAATCCAAATGGAATCATTGGGCCATTGTGGAGGTCTCCAAATGGCATCATTGGGAAGTCGTGTGAATTTTGTTTCTGTCAATAAAATACAAAAGTACAATACACTTTTTTATTTCAGATAGATCCTGTGTTCAAAACTACCAAAACCAAACTCTCTTTTCGGGAATTGCAAAATCTGTCCCAGGAAGAGGTAGTTGGTGTTGATGAATGATTGAAGAAACTCAAATAGAAGAATTATTGGAAAATAGTGTTAAAGATAGCTTGAACACCCAAGTTACAGAGAATATGGAAGAAAAAACTGTTGAAGAAATTACAGAAGAGTCACAGACAAGTCATGCCAAGAAAAAAAATCATAGAAAAACCAACTTGGACAGACAACTTAATTGACGTAAACAGCGTAAGACAGTGGTGATTTTTCGGTTGATGAAAATATTTATACGCCTTTCCAATATTTTAAGATGTTTTGTGACAATGATATTGTTCAAAATTTTGCTGAGCAGACAAACTTGTATTCTCTGCAAAAAGACAGTAAAAATATTGATACAGATGCAGTAGAGATAGAGCAGTTCTTAGGCATACATGTATTGAGTGGAATTCTTCGTGTTCCTTCGTATAGAATGCATTGGGCAGAAAGGACAGTCCAACATGACAGGTCTTGGAATTAGTGGAAAAATCTGCCAAACCACATGAATTTCTAGATTTTCACCGATAATTGGTTCACATCTTATAATCTAATTATTAAATCAATATAAGGTTGAATGTTCGAATAAATGAACTTTGATGGTACACAAGGCAAATATCGAACACAGTATTTAATTAAATCTTGCCCAAGTACTTTCGATCACAAGATCATCCTCAGGGACATTTCGTCAATTGTGGCCTATCCAGCAATAACCGAATGTCATACATGTAAACTGGGACATAACAAATACATACACTAAAGACAAACAAACACTTTAAAATTTAAATTGGAGAAGCTACATTTTTATATTATAGAAGCCGGAGACAGAATGGATTCTGTCTCCGGCTTCTAAGTGTATGCGTTGTTTTCATCTAAATTGCTGTTTATTATTATGACTATTAGTGTAACTACCTTTATACAGTCTAATGTTTACCGGAGAGAATATTAGTTAGTGGGGACAAGAAAACTTGAATTTAATCATGTTTAGAAAATTGTTAGTCCGTATTTAATAGCGTAATAAAACCATTCACTTTTAACGGTATTCAAACAGATATCTAAACAGCCATTTCCGAAAGAACAATTTATGCTGTACGAAAAGAAAGTTCTTCGGCCATTGAATTGCAACCAGCGAAGAAACGAACAAAATTTATTAAATAAATATTTTTTATTTAATAAAGAATTACATACATATTCCAAACAACACCCCTTCGTTGTTTCTTCTCGTACAGGTATCATAATAATAATCGATTACACTTTATACTTATTTTTTTTTTTTTCAATAACTAGACTTTATTAGGTATTTTTTATATTAATTATTTATATTACTAACTTACCTTACCCTGTTTGTTTAAAAAATGTTCGAAAAAATGGCTGACACTATATTTTGATGAAAAGTACTATGAATCAACTACCACAGGACATGTAGTATACAATCGACAACGCTGTTGCGTTGCTGTCATTTTTACGAACTAACGAAGATGTATTCGATTCGATGTATTTTTGTTTCACTTAACCATATATTTCTTTATTGCCACAGTAATATTGCCCTCTTGGATCTTACAATTTAGAATTAATTAGGACATTCTACAGCACATAACCAGAATAAGAAAAGTTGTGAAGAAATTTAACTTATATATTATTACCTACTGTACAGATTCCAAGAGTGGAATACATTGTATACAATGACTGTAACAAAAGAGACATTTGGTCAACTGCAAGAAAAATATGATAAAGTTATTAAACTGCTGGAAGATAGTAAAATTAGATCCTGAAACTGAACCATTTTTATCAAAATATTCCGCTAGGCAAATTTTGATCGGTATGAAAGCGCAAATTGAAAGTTTGTTAAGGGGCCAAGGGATGGAAGAATCTTGTCAAAAAAAGTTAAATGGTAATGTATAAACATGTATGATGGCTAGTTTTAATTAAGGGTTATGTGACAATCAATACTTCACGACATGACGACTTTTTAATTCACACTTTGAATGATATTTGGGAAAGGTTAGGTTAGGTTTGTCAGTTATGCATTTGTTTTGTGCTAGGTTAATTATTAATGTTGATTGTATAAAAACCTATTGCACAGGAAGAGAAGTTACAGATTTGCCAAAGATTATAAAAAATCTGTTACACAGGAAAGAAGTAACAGCGTAAGAAGAGATAACAACATTGGTTGAATGTCTCCCTTTATACCAGTAGTATGGCTTTGTGATTATAGCAGGGTAGTGTACTATCTCTTGAGCCTATGGTATACAATGAAGGGAACAGACACAGTGTTATGCTTCTTGACAGTGGTGATCACCATTGTGAAGTGCTTGATCTTCTGCCACATGGAATAATTGTCCTGCATTTGATATCTCAGTCTATTCACAAATATTCTATATCGATTTCCCCCTCACTATATGTCCCAGATAAAACATTTTCTGTCTATTCCTCTATCACCTAATATTGTCCTGGTTTTCCCAGTTACTTCATTTTTTCAGGCTGAGCCGATCTAATGCCTGTAAATATTAAAAAAATATTTAAATGTTTTTTTGCTGCCACTTAGGATTGATCCCCAGCCTTCTGTATGAACGCCAAACACTTTACTGCCTGAGCTATCCCTTTTGCCAGAATGATCATTTAACTAAAATGTAAAATAACATATGAGGGAAACGAAGAACAAGAAATGTCAACAAAACAATTCAATAAATAAGAAAATTTAAATTATATTAGTAACTTAGAGAAGACCAATGCTCTAAGGGAAAAATTAATGCTGTTAGCTCATAAATCTATACCCTCAAAATTTATTGCTTATATAGTTATAGTTTCTGCACTGTTGATTTTTTGTAATGTTATATTTGATAGGTTATGACAAGTATAATCAAATAGGTTGATTTATTTGAGAGTTTCAGTCCATAGTCTGTTCAATTAAATGTGTAGAGTAACCTGCAGCAAGTTCTAAAATAAAAATAGCCATTATGATTGCAAAGCTCCTTAGGGAGATGACACTCTAAGAAGAAGAAGTAACCTGTGGATGCATTGGCAGGTGCCACAGTAGACCCTCATATAGTTAAGGTAGCTGTTTTCATATTGAGCTACACAGCTTGTAAAATATTAAAACATTATATCTAAACTTAATGTTAAATTTGACAACAGAAGTAAAACAAAAAAATAATATTGAACTTAAATATCAAAGGACTTTAACTTATTGCGTAATGCATAGACAGTTATCTAAAGTAGATAACTAATTCCATATTAATTGACCATATGGCATAACTCTTAATAAATTGTAGTGCCCATATAGATGGCTTAAATGCAACAATCCATTTCCAAAAACTCACATCAACAAAAAAAAATAAATAAATAAAAGAGTTAAAAATATCATTTGTAACATTATTTTATTTATACTTACTTTACTTTTTTGTGTGCAGCATTTCAATTTTTTAGCCCAGTTGTGGGTTACAGCCAATGTTTCATGCTTGCCAAACCATAGTTCATCAAGGTTGCGGGGGTACTATTGTAGTTTGGGCAGCTCAGTACATATGCCACATTCACATTTATTGTTTGTTTCTGATTTGGTCCAGTATTTTCCATACTGTTCACTTCGAGTTTGCAATACTGGACACCATTTTGTTAAGTAGGTTATTCACACATTCAGGAATCTCTTACTGAATTTTAATCTTTTCAATTTGAATTTGGTCTTGAAAAGATGGCTTTCATCAAGCCTGTTCATTAGGTCCATTCCATGAATTTGTGAGCTTTTTTTTCTATTAGAGTTAGCTTCATTCTGCCTGATGCTAGTCTACATATTTTGTTTAGAATGACATCAACTTTTTGGAGTGGATTTGAACCAGACCAGGGAAGCCATTTAAGGACCTATCTAGCATGACCACAGGCAGTTTAGTTTATCTGTGTGTTCACAAGTGAGATATTCCATTAGTTTTAGAGTCTCCTATTTGTTGGTGTCAGGAGATAGATGAAGCTTACTTGCATCTTGACTGCTGCCATGATGCCACCCTAAGCCAGACTGTTAGGTATCTTTTTTTGTTTAGCAGCTCATCTTCAGCATCAACAATATTTACTATGATGTTTTTTTGAGTGAGCAGATCATACAGTTTTGTCAACAGCCTTCTGTGATTCACTGTATTGTGAACAGAGTGCAGGTCAACTAGTTCAAGACCTGCTATTTGTTTATTTTGTATTCCTTCTTTTATGTGTTCTGTGAGGTTAAGAATTTGGCTGTGCATAATATAACTGGTCTAAACCTAGGTATGAGATTCCTATCTACATAAGAGATTGATGTATATTTTTTGGTCAAGTCTGGATTTACTTGTAAATTGTGTCTCAAGGCAATTTGTATCAAATTGGGGATTCATAAATTATGTTTAATTTCTGAGGTATTGAACTAGACCTCCGTTTAGAAGGAGCTGGTGAACTACTTGATCTGGTGTTACTTTATGGGGTTGCCTTTATGGATTTCCACGCCATCTACCTATTATCATATCAATTCTGCCCATCCATCTATTTTGTTTGTCTTGCCTTACTGAATATTTCTATTAGTGTTTTTTTTTTGTTTTTTTTTTCTTTATAGTTTTTCTTATTTGACTAGAATGTCCAGTCTCCACACAGGTGTCATAGTTCTCCTGGTTGGGCTCAAATGATTGGTGACCATGTCTATGTACTGTACGAAATTTTTTGATTTGGTTCCTTGGAAGTTGAATATTCTATAGAAAGAAATTTTTATTCTTATCATTGCAAACACCTATATCCCTATAGGATTGGTTCATAAACTTTTTTTATGCTGCAGTTCTGGTTGTTGGGAGTTTATGAAGTTATAGCTTTGTCTTCAGATTTAGTTGGTAAAGGAATAGGACACAATTTTGGGTCATGTAAGAATGACAAATTATATGTTTCTGCCCACTGCTCCAACACTTAATGATTATTATCTGTCTTACTATAGAGGTCCCTCACTCCCAACAGAGATATGGTGATTGAAATCGCTCACAACGAACTGGGTCTTCTAGTATTTTTAAAATCAGGGGTCTTTGTGAAGTTAAATATTTTTTCTGATGGTTTGTGACTGATGTCACCTCAATATCGCTGCTTTTGATGGTTTAATACCGTGTCATGTTGTTCTGCCTGTCAATAGCACTGTCAAGTCTGTGTAATTATTGCACTGTTATACTTGGATATGAACATATCTTTGGTATGCATACTTATTCATCTCTATAGGTTTCCTGAAGATACAAAATCCCAGCTTTTGGTTCTGCCGAGTTTGGATAGAATGTTTTGCTTGTTCTTCGAAAGTTAGGCTAACAGTTAGAATTGTCACTGAAAAAAGCTTGGTGTATATAATATATTTTTCGTGTATAATATATAAAGTGATTGTAACAAAATTGAACTTTAAAAATTTGGTGGATTGTGACGATTTAAATTTAAGCAATTGATATATACTTGTTTGAATGTTTTATGTCTATCAGTATTAATTACAAAACTTTTTAAAAACTGATACCTTACTCAGAAGTGAATAATTCTTGTTTGGTCTCTTGTTGTTTGTTGTCGAATGATATAAAGAACACATAATTTAATAATGAAAGTGTCAAAACATATTAATTTTGTTTTTCTTTTACTTTTAGCCATGCTAGGTACTGTTTATTTGTATCTGGGTATGATATCACTTGATACAGGAGAAGTTTCTATGGGTAAAACTAATCTTGAAAAATGCAAAGAAATAATAGAAAAATTTCAAATGGAACCAGATTTTATATTAATAGCACTCAATATGTATAACCAGTACGGAATAATGCTATCAGTTAATGAACCAAAAAGTTCGAAATTATATTTGGATATAGCTGAAAATTTATATGCGGACTTTAAAAGAAAAGGTGCGAATCCAATTGATATTAGTGATTTATTTCAATTAAATAATGAATCACATAATGTGGAAATTGGTTTACAAAATTTGGAAAAAATACACACACTCACATTATATTATTTAGCTCAGATATTTGGCGCAATGCAAGATGCTTTAAGAAGTTCAGTGTATTGTCATTTAACTTTAAAAAAACAATTAGAAATGAGTGACTATGATCCTATTGATTGGGCATTGAATGCAGCAACATTATCCCAATTTTTTATGGAAAAAAATTGTTTTAAACAAGCACGGCATCATCTAGCAGCAAGTTTGTTTATTCTTGATGAACATAAGAAACAGTTGGATTTTAATAAAGAAGAAACTGAAGCTTACAATGCCCAATTAGAGACTTACAATCATAGGAGTGCTGATGTTGCAAGATGTTGGTTAAAATATGGAATAATTCTACTTTCAAAATCGAAAGAACGACTTTTGAATCATACTGATGACATTACTGAACACTGTTCTCTCTCGACAAATTTTTCAGATCTGAATATTAATTTTGAGGGTAATCTGTCCAGATATGATTTAAAAAATTTAATATTTAGTGATCTTAATATATCAAGTTATGAACAAGAAATAACGGATCAGTTCATATTAGTTCTACCCGACGCAAAGAAAGTATTTTTGCATTCTCAAATGTGGGCCAACAAAGCTCAAGAATATTACACTTTAGAAACTCTAGCATCTGATTTCATAGAAATAGTATTAGATCAAACACAGTTATATTATAATCTAATATTCTTTGAAGATGATCCAGAGAATCAAGCTAAATTGCACAAACGGAGGATAAAACTTCTTGAAAACGTCATTGCGAATGTAAATTCTCAATATTATCTACAATATTGTAGGCAAGTTTGGTTTGAATTAGCTAGAACTTATGCCGATATTTTAGATATAAAATATGATAAATTAAGAGATACAAAATCCCGACCTACTCCACATAGTCTCTCAAAAATAAACCACTTAGTCGATAATGGTATTAATCATTATACAAACTTTATAAATTCTTTTAAAGATAAAGTCACAGAAGTATTACCAGAAAAAATTCCGGATGATGTTGAAAGGCCATTCCTTCAAGCATACTTTCATAAAGCTGCTTTATACGGAAGATATGTATCTCTTGACAAAGAAGTGCAGTTAAAAAACACCGAATTAAGCTTAGAGTGCTATAAATATATTTATGATTATTGTGAAAAACATAAGAAAAGTAAAGAACTCATTGCCATGGAATATGGTATTTGCAAGGAGATGGTTACTTTGTTACCCGTAAAAATACTCAAATTGAAAAATTCCTAAGCTTCTATCTTTCAAGTTAAAAACTGTGTCTTGTTTACTGGATCCTAGTCATAATAAGAAAATATCTTGCTTCGTGTATAATAAGAGAGTTTTGTCAATAATCATTAATAAATACAATTGTTTATTGAAAGCTTTTTTTATATTTTTCCTACTTTCATGGTGACGTTGCTTCTGGGCCTAATCCATCGAGCAAAATGATAAAAGAGGGCATTTAATCGTTATGAAAAGTGACCAAAATTCATTAAAGTGACCCCTTAATATGGCGGACATATCCGGAAATGCAAATGTTTTAATTAAATATTAACGATAATAGTCTAAAGGTGACACAATTGTTAAAAAACTTAAATATAAACAAGATTTCATGTGACTGTTGCGACAAACCAGAGATATGTAAGAGAGGGATATGACACAAACGATATTTCTGCATTTAATAAATGGGACCACTTATTTTGACTGATTGTCTACACCAATATGGCGGCGGGCAGGTCCGAATTCAAATTAATTCAAACTGTATTTACTGTTAAGTTTGGGAATAAGCATTGGGTTAGATTAATAATAGTTATTTGGAACAAAATTACTTTCATTTTTAGTAGGTACTTTTCAAGTACACTTTAATAATAATAATAAAATTTATTACATGCATAAAGTTTTAAAAAATATACAAAACTAGTCAATGATATGGTTTTAAAATTATAACATTTACAATTAGCAAGTAAAAAACAACAATTAGCAAGTGCACTTACTTAAGTTTATATACATTTAGAAATGTTAGTTCCATGTAGTATTAATAAAATTAGTTATTGTGTATAGGTAGGTAGTTAAAGAATTGTATCAAAGACATGTCGTGATCTTTATCTTTTTAACTTAGTTTTATTTCTATGGTTATGTAGATATAAATATGTAGAAATTATCAGGTATAGTGGTTATTAAAAATCTTTGTTTTTTCTAAAGAAACTGAATATTTCGCTATTTATTTTATAGCTTCATCAGGAGTACACTGTAAAACAATTTTAAAATTTCAAAAATGGCGTAAAAATACAATTTGGCACAGGTGATAACTACAAAAGTAGATTATTTCTTGAGATGTATCACATCAACAAACATGAAAACACTTTAAATTATAAAACAGGCACTGGACAGTTAAGTAACTGTCCAGTTTCCGTTTACTGTTAATTGTAATATATTAAACAAAATTTATAAATATTGAAAATAGCTAATATTCACCTTCATAACAACCAACCTTAATAATTCATCAAAGAAATATCATTCTTCTAACGTTTTTTTATTGCTATTTTTGTTTTTACACCTAAAGTCATTTTAAATTTTTTATCATATTACTGTAACTAACGTGCTTAAGACAATTTAATCATGACATTTATTACATACCTACTTCAATGTCAATTTTTATATGTGAAACCTTTTAATTTCTGTAAGTGTTTTTTAAATGTATTTGTACGCCATTTTTGTAATGTTAAAATTGTTTTACAGTGTACTCCTGATGAAGCTATCAAATAAATAGCGAAATATTGAGTTTCTTTAGGAAAAACAAAGATTTTTAATAGAGACCACTATACCTGATAATTTCTACGTTTATAAATTATTTTTTGATTGCAATAATCACTTGTATATATATTATATATATATATATATATATATATATATATATATATATATATTATAAGGATCACTCAGGCGAGTGGTGGGTTCTTATATCAGTCTCAAGGTGGAGAAATAAAAGGCAAAGTTGATAGGCTACTTTATTTTGAAGACGTTTCGCTTTCGTATTCTGAAAGCATCATCAGTTCATCTAAAAAGTACAATATGAGAACCACACAATCATGGAGAAGATGTTATAAGTGTTACCTTAAAAAGACATGTAGCAGTCAATGATATTAACAGATTTGTGAGTAAAACTCAAGTAAATAGACATTATACCCTAATATTGTATAAACAATCAATTAACTAACAACATTAATTGCTTATACAATATTACCATATAATGTCCAATATATATATATATATATATATATATATATATATATATATATATATATATATATATATATATATAAATAATTTACAACTGTAATAGAAAACGGTCCAGTCTATTTTTAAACATGTTAGTAGCAGGGGCAGATACAATGTTATCACTAAGGTTATTCCAGCTCTGGAAAACTCTATTTGGTAGAAAGTTCTGTCTTGATCTTGTAGAAAAGTTCTCTTTTTTAAGTTTAAACGTGACCTCTGAAGCGTTCATCTTGATTTATGGTAAACATTTCGTACTCTTACTTTCGAATTATCCTGGATATGTAGCACGTGTATGAAAAACAAAACAGTAAATATCACAATATCAAAGATATAATAATAATAATAATAATAATATATATTTATATATATATATATATATATATATATATTATATATATATATATTATATATATATATATATATTATATATATATATTATATATATATATATATATAATATATATATATATATATATATATATTATAGGTTTAGAAAATAGGAACCTTCTTAATTTAATTAATTAGTAGTTTAAGATATATCTAGTATTAATTAATATACAAGTATGTAAATGGTCTGAATCTTAAGTTGGCTGCATTTGAAAACATATTTAATATTAGTTTTATAAAAATGTTATTCATAAAAAGTTCTGAAACTTCATAAACCTAAAATACCATAACATATATAAACCTTAATTTTGTACACAAAGTAAGTAGCTTTATATAAAAAAAGCATAAATCATATTTTGAAACGCAACGAACTGTTGTTGTTACATCAATAAAAAATGTCAAATGGTTCATATTTAAAGAATGGTCAAAACAAAAATGTGTTTAATTATTAACTAGTACTTTACACAAAATATCAAGAACCTTCTAGTTGAAATATCTTTGTTCACACCTATACAAACTTATTTATTTGCAAATGAAAGCCTGTGAAATGTACAATTGAAGTTGTATACAAAGTACTGTGTAATTTCCAGGTGTAATTCAGAATATTACCTACATTATTTTAATAACCTACTTCATTTATAAGTATTTATAATTATTGTTACCTGAGATTCACCAATTGTAGGGATTGCATTCTCACGCAAACGGACAAAAGCTAATGAGGTCCTATCTATACAGTCCTCCGCAAAATGTCTGGAACACAATTTGCTATGTTTTGATGGTTCCCAGTTCCCACACTATTTACAAACTGTATCCAGGCATTTCTCTTTTCAACACCTTTAAAAAATCTACAACCACATGAACCAAATTAAAAAGATTACCTGTTCTTTTTACACGCAGCATCACTAAAAACGGAAGTAATACCGCCCTGTACACTGTTTACAATTTCATACTGACCGATGAAAAGTTATTCCAGTTGAGTTTTTCTTATTATTTCAACTGTTATTTAGACACAAAACAAAAGCACACGAAGCCATAATGGTTTCACTTTAAAATAAACGTAAAACCGTACAAAATTAAGTTCAAAATACTTTTAAAATTAAATTTCTATGCACAGAAGTACTGACACAAACAACAATCTGTCATGTCTACACCAATATGGCCAAACCGATCCCATCTATTTCACGGTATGTCATATCCCCTCTCTTACATATCACTGCGACAAACAATAACATAACCCAACTAAATTTGATTTCTTAAACAAAGAAAGAGACTCTTTCCTTGTTTAATGTGGCCTCTCAAAATGGCACTTCCCGTCTAAGTGTACACCTACATTGGAACCGTATTTCTCCCGATCCGACGTCGGATTGAAAACAAACTCAGGGTATTAATGCATAGTGCCTATACTGCAATGGGAACTCCGATCAGATAACGGCTGGCGTCGGACTGAGTAGCTTCTCCTATCCAGAGCTGAAAGTATCTTTAGTAAAAAGATAAAAAAGGTATCTTAGATACTTTTATTTAAGATACTTTTTGGTTCATTTAAAAGTTACTTTTACTTTAGATACTTCTTAAAAGTATCTAGTATCTTTTATCTTTAAAAGTATCTTAGATACAAAAAAGTATCTTAGATACTTACTCAGAACCTGAGAAATAGATACTTTTCATGATCCGACAAGCTTCGACCTGTCGCGCCGGCCGTAGCGGGAGAGACGATTTGTATTGTTCTTTGCATCCCGCCCGCAGCATTATCCGTTTATCCTTTACAACGTTAAGTTAGTTTGCCTTTGCCGTTCGTACTCGCTAAAGGAAAAAATATTAGTGCACTAGAAAAGGTAAGTTCCTTTCTTTGCTTTTTATAACCTATTTTAAATTTAGTGCAATAATTTGTAAGTGTTGTAATTTAATTTTAAAGTGCCAAAAGATGATATCGACATCATTGAGGAAGACCAGGAAGATATTTTGGAGGATGAAGAGGATATTCCTGACATATTTGAAAACGAAAATTATCTCCTTCCAAATAATTTCTTCTTCTTCTTGTCGTGTCCGTATTCAGACGTTGGCCGTCATCATGTTTACAATTTCTTGAAACCTTTCTCTGTCGGCTGCTGCGCGAAATAATTCTTCTACTGTGGAACCACACCATTGTCTAATATTACGCAGCCATGAAAGTTTCTTTAAGTGATTTCTTTTAAACTATTTCTTTTAAAATAATTTAAGTGACAATAATTTGATCATACCTACTTTATCTGAACACATACGTTGTGAAACTACTGATATTATGAAAATAATTAATTCAACCAGTTCTCTTAGATTAAAACATGAACAAGCAATAGCTAGGTGTAATCATATATGGAAAAAAACAGGTCGTCCTAAATCAGCTGAAGTGATAAAAAAAAGTATTAGGACATACTTTAAGTTACCCGGGTGTGACTCGTTGGAATTCCATGTTCGATGCTCTGAACCAGATTCTTAAGTCTAAAGAAACACTGGAATCTCTATACGAAAAATTCAATTTTCGTATAGAGATACTGATCTAAATTATTTAGCAGAATTATGCCAAACACTAAAACCGTTTGCTTTGGCACTTGACATTCTTCAAGGCGAACAAAATATGTACTACAGTTTCCTTCTACCATCAATCGTAAGCTTGTTTGTTAAAATTGAAAAGCTTAAAACCAATAAGTTTAAATATGTGGAACTTATTTTGAACGC